AGGCTGGAGCAGGAGGCTGAGGGGTTCGGGGACCAGCGGGGCAGCTGGAACCACTCGGCCTTTCCTGAGGGAGCGAGTTAGAGGTGCGCTTCTTTCTCACGTAGCAGCCTGGAGCTCCCCCAGGCGTCCTGGTTCCCCCGGGGTGGTGCGCCCACCGCTCAGGGGTTACCCTGGCTGCCCTGTCAAAGCGGGCGGGTCCGGCATCGGGAAGAGCAGAGGAGCAGGGGGACAGCGTGTGGTGCCTATGGACAAGGGCACATGTCACTGCCGCCCCTTCCATAGGGGGGAACGTCCACATGCCCTCACCTGAGCAGAGGGAGGGGCGGGCATACATGTGACAGCTAAAGCTGTCGTTGTGGAGGGGGATGGGGAGGCAGCGCCTGCCGCAGAGGAGAAGGCCACAGCACATATCACAGTGGTCCAGGGGGGCCTGCGCCGGGTGCTCCCACCCTGTCCCCTGTGCCTAGCAGACGGGGGTGCTCAGCAGGTGGTTGGGGGGACAGAATAAAGAACAGCCTGAACAAAGGCCTGAGGGGCTCTCCATGGGGGCTGAGAGCGTTGTTGCGGGAATGGGAGGCGATCGGGGGGAGGGCAGGCTGTCCGCAGGACTCATGCCTTCCCCTTCTCTCGAACCCTAGGCACTTTGGGGCTGACCAGCAGCTGCTCTGAGTAGGAAGCGAGTGGTGCTGGCCTGAGCCTCCTTGTGGCTGAGAAGCGCCATGGCCAGCATCCTACCGGCCTGCCTGGCTGCTCTCCTGCTGCTGCCTCTGGTAAGGCCCCAGGCCCACACCCTCCCCACTCCCCTCTCCCCCACCAGCTGGAGCCTCCAGCTCCCCTGAGCCCCCACCCCAGAGAACCCCGTCTTTGGCGTGCCCTCAGCTGGTATCTCTGCCAGCACCCCCACGGGACCATCCAGCACGTCTGTGAATTAGAAAGGGTGTCCCATCCTCAAGACCTTCCACCTACGTGGCCAGAAATCCTTACACAGGAAATCGCGAATGTGTCGCGATGCCGGCCTGGGCAGTCTTCTGAGCTGTGCATCCTGGATGTGTACCGTGCAGGACCCCGGCCGGGCTGCCTAAGGTTCTTTGATCCCCGGCCCCTGCTCCAGGTCAGAGCTCAGGAGCCTGCTCTTTGCTCACGTCTCTCCCAGAGCGAGGGTGGTGGGAGGGCTCCAGGCCTTGGCCCTCGCCCCGAACTGGGACGTCACACCAGCACCGGCTCTAGCGGCCTCCGAGACCTGGATCCAGGCCCTGCCTCTGCCCTGCCTCACCGTGTGGCCCCAGACAGCCTGTCCCCGCCCCGGAAGCTGTGTGCACCTCTGTGACCAGTCAGGGCTAGACCGAGCATGGCCCTTGACACTCTGATGCCTTGTGCCTGCCTCTGTGCTCCCGGCGTCCCCTTACACAATCGCTCCTGCCCCCACATTCGAGTTAAGAAGCAATAGCCACGCCAGGGCTTTGAAGTTACTTGTTCCTGCGCTTGAATCCAGCCTCTGCCACTAAGCAGCTGTGGGACCTTGGGCGGGAGTTTCTTAACTTCTCTGAGCCTCAGTTTTCCTCTTCTGTCAGACGGGGCAAGAGTAAATGGGAGTGGTTCCTGGGCCCACTGAATGCTGCAGCTGCTCCCTGGCCTGGACCTCCTTCCCCAGCCCCCAGAGGAGAGAGACAGTGAGGGGTCAGCCCCCCTCCCACCCCCCCCCCCCAGCTCCTGCTGGCCCCCTGTAGTACAGCAGTAGCCTTGCCTCTGGAGCTACCCTGCCTGGGGCCAAATCCTGGCCAAATACAGTCTACTAAGCTGTGTGACTTAACATCTCTGGGCTTAAGTTTCACATGTGTAAAATGGAGAGAAATGGCAAAAAAAACTACCTATTTGTAGTCCTCTGGATGTACATGTATACACACATAGTATATGACAGAATAGCGCATGCAGGTCGTAAAGTGCTGTATGTGTGTTTGCTGCGGTTTTTATAAGACTTGGAACCTGAGAGCCAGGGTCAGAGTGGGACCCACCCGAGGCCACACATGGAGTTGGTAAAGAAGAACCTCATGGTGTCGGTGACAGAGTGGATGTCAGGGTCCCTGCTGGCCCTGAAGTCTCTCTGTCACTGTCCTCATCCTGCTTCTGCCCCTCCCCCCTGGCCCCAGGGCTCAGGGAAAGGGCTTCTAGTGAGCCTTGCTGCCCCTCCCACTGTCCCTCCCGCTCCCTGCAGGCCGCCGCCATGCACTCGGACTGCATGTTCAAGCAGGAGCAGGCCCAGTGCCTGGAGAAGATCCGGAAGGCCAACGAGCAGATGGGCTTGAACGCCTCCTCCCTGGGTGAGTAGGCTGGCGGGAGGACATGGCCTCCCAGCACATCCATAACCGTTAGAGCTGTTGCCCCCACCTGAGGCCACTTTGGGAAGAAAGGTGGAGGGGACGGGTCCCCGGGTCCTTCAGAGAGCCCTGTAGGGGGTGGGGGCGGGGGAGTCCTGGATCTGCTCCGGGCAGTGGCCCTGGGCTGCCCTCCTTGGGGACAGCCTGCCCGGGGTGCCTCCCTGAGGGAGGGCTGTTCTGGGTGGCTGGGTATGGCTGCCTTAGGTCCCAGGGGCTGGGTTAGAGCTGGGGTTGGCTGTCAGAGCTTGTTAGCAGGCGGCCTGGGCCTGGCGGCAGCAGGGACACAGCTGCTGCGGGTGCCCGAGCTGGAGAGCACATGGGCAACCCCAAGCAGGAGGGGCAGGGCCCTTCCCACCTCCTCTGCCTCCCGTGCTCACTCCGCCAGAAGCCAGAGAGGAGGCAGCAATGGGGACCCCGCCTCGGCCTGTCTGGGCAGTACTTCCTCCGGGGTTGCTCTTAGCCTGGGGCGGGATGCTGCCTCCCCTGCAGGACAGTCAGCAGTCTTAGCTTCCCCATCAGACGCCACGGCTCCCCTGGTCCCAGTGACGACCCAGAGTGCCTTGTAACATCTCCAGATGTTTCCAGGCAGTGGCGTGGCCCTGGCTGAGAGCCCGGGGTCCTGTGTGGCCCCCTCCTCCTGACTCCCTCGCTGTGCAGAGAGGACGCCGAGGCCACAGGGAAAGGGCGCCCTGGACTTCGGGATTCCCAGCAGCCAGGGCGAGGGTCTGCGTGGGAAGCCAGGGACTTGGGGGGCGGGGGCATCCCTGGAGGCCTGGCCGGCCTCACTTACACCTCAGTCCCTGGTGGGCGGGGCTCTCTGGCCAGCCTAGAAGGATCCACCTCTCCCTCCGGATCCTCCCTGTTTAGAGGGAGCTCTTCTGAGCACCATCTGTTTAAATACTCGATTAATCTGCAGCCCAGTTATGTGTAACGGTCCCTCCAGGCCAAGCTCCCCGGCCAGACAGTGAACATTAACTGCTAATGGAGCCGCTCCGGCCATGCTGGACTTGCCCGCCCTCCAGCCCAGCTCTGGCTCAGCCCTAACCGAGGCAGGAAGTGGATTCTAGGCCCTCACCAGCCAGGGAAACTGAGGCAGGGGCCCCAAACAGGTGCCCAGTTGCAGGAGACCAACATAATATCTGGTCCGAGGCTCCGGTCTAGGGGATGGGAAATGTGGCCGTGAGGTGGACCGGGAGCCCAGATGTCCTGCCTCCTAGCCCAGGGCCACTGTTCCTGCATCACAGGAGTCAGGGGCATGTGGGTGGGGCATGAGAAGCATCCAGGAGGGAAGGGTAGAGGTGGGGGCGGGGCTACTGCACAGATGTTTGTGGAGCCCCAGCTGGGGGAGGGCAAGAAGGCTAGCCCACAGGGGCAACGTGAGCGTGAGACAGAGGTGAGGATGGACACCCTCCCGGGGGGGAGGGGGGTGTAGGCAGGTGCTGGGGAGAGGGTTGCACCCAGGTGTGCTCCGGAGAGGGAGAGAGGAATTCTGGGAGGGTTCCTGGACAAGATGGGATTTATACTGGGTCCGAGGTTCTCAAACCTCGCTGCCCATCAGAGTCACCAGGAGCTTTTAGGACAATGTGCTCACGCTACAGTCCAAGCCAGAACCATAGCCCCTCACAGTCACCTCGGCATGTTCTAATGATGTTTATGGGGACCCTTATTCACGAGTTGTGTTTAGTGGTTTTAAATGCAGGCCAGGCCTCCAGGCTGACGGGCAGCTGGTCAGAGAACTGCTGAGTTAGGCCCTAGGGCTCAGTAGGCCCGGACGGCAGGTGAGAGCTGAGGGGCGGGTGGATGGGTGGGGAGAGCGTCCTCGGTGGGAGCACCAAAGCAGAAAGGTGTGTGTGTCGGGGGCTCTTTCTAGCTCTGTGCCTCAGAAGATCCACTGTTAAAATGAGCAGCTGGAACGAACCATATCAGCCAGTACTTCCATAGGTTTCCCGTGTGCCAGGCACTGGGCCAGTGCTGCTTCTCCCACTGCAGCTACCTAGCGGGATCTATCATTACACCTGTCATATAGATGAAGACACAGAGGCACCTGCACCCCTTAAATCCTAGTCCCTCCCCGGTCCCGGGACCTCTGCAGAACTCCAGGTGGTCATGGGCATTGTGGCCTCCGGGGGGACGCTGAGGGACAGGGTCACGCCGGGAGGCATGGGAGCCGAGCAGGCAGGTGAAGGAGGAGGATGCACCGGCCAGGTGGTGGGGAGCGAGAGTACGCGCCCTGGCCCGCCTCTTCCGTCTGCACCGTCCTCAGCCTGTCCTGACGGTGTTTGCTGGGACCGTTACTGCAGAGCTGAGGTTTTGTCCCTCATTCCAAACCTCCGAACGCTAAGTGGGACTGGAGACAGCACGGAGTCCAGCTGTGTCACGTGACACTCCGAGATGCTGAGGCCAGAGGTCGCAGTCCCCGGCCAAGTTGCACCGAGGGCCTGAGCCAGCTCTGGGACAGGCCCCAGGGCTGCGGCCCCGGCCAGGGGTGCCCTTTGTGCTGCCGTGCCCTGGGCCAGAGAGAAGGAAAAAGGATCCCTGGGCGTGGGAAGCAGGCTCTCCACTCCCGAGGGTCCCAGACCCACGCAGGTCACGGGCCTTGCCTGCTGGGCGAGCCGGTCTGCTCTCTGCTCTGCCCAGGAAGCCTGGCTGCCCCGCGTGAGTCTGGCCAGAGCCTCCTCTTTGCAGGGCTGCAGGCTTCCGCCAGCCTGGAGGCCTGGCCTGCGTTTGAGCGGGGTCGGTCAGGTGTGGTCCTTCGGGAGCCCCCAGACTCCGGAGGAGATGGAAGAGGGGTGCCTGCAGTGGCCCTGGCAGGGGCAGAAGAAGGGGACTTATACGGAAGGCGAGAGCCTGCTCACTGCTGTGCTGACCCGGCCTCGGAGGCCAGGCAGGGTGCACAGTGTCTGGGCCCAGCCACTCCCCTCACCCCCCAGGAGAGGAGAGGCCTGGGGAGGGAACACAGGAGGGCTGGGCCCAGGCTCCCATCCTTGGAGCAGAATCAGCATCTTGCCTGCACCTCCCAGCTGCTGTGAGACTAAGCAGGCGCCCAGTGTGGGGTCTGCAGGGACCCCTCGCCCCCCTAACCTGACTTGAGCCTGCATCAGAATCTTCTGGAAGGCTTGTTAAAACACAGATGGCTAGGCCTAGCACCAGAGTTCCTGACTCGGTGGGTCTGGTGGGGCCTGGGCACCTGCATTCTGTCGAGTTCCCACTGGTGTTCCTGGCCTGGGGTCCCCACGTTGAGAGCCGCTGAGCTCGAGGGGAAAAATAACTTTCAGTCGATTGAAATCACGCGTTACCCCCGAACTGTGTGCTAAAACAGGGGGCTCGGTGTACCCACGCAGCCTCGGCGGCGGCGGCGTCTCAAAGGGACGACTGTGCCTGTGTGAGCCCCCTGCGGTGTCCCTGCTCTCGTGGTTTTGAACACTCTGTGGAGCTGGACAGAATCGTCACCATGACAACCCGAGATGAGCGCCTCGTTCTGTTCCAATTGAGGCTAATGGCTCCCGCGTCCTCTCTGTTCAGCCTGCCCGAGTGGTCCTTCCCTCCCGCTGTTGTCACGAGGCGCGGCCTCTCCTTCTGCTTTGTGTGGGTGGCGGAGGGGGAGCCGCCCCATCTCCCACCACGCAGGCACCCCCTCCCCGGCCTACATCCCTCTGACCACGTTCCATAGAGGCTTGTGGGGGAGGGGCAGAGGCAGAGGCAGAGCCAGGAGGGCACAGACAGTCAGGGTAGAGTTGGGCTATCGTGGGAGAGGAATAGGAGGGAGCTGCTCTGCAGGGGCGAGGAGAGGAGGGGACGTTCCCAGCCTCTCCGCGGTGGCGGATGCACTGGACCATCTCCGTGTTCCTGGCTGTCACTCACCTCTCCCGTCTTCCCCCTGCCTCTGGCCTCCCCTCCTACTCCTCCCCACCAGCTGCCCTTCTGCGGTTGGCATGCCTTGTGTTGTTGGGGCCAGGCCCTCTTCTCTCTTCTTCTCAAATCTATGCCTTCTCCCGAGACATATCAGCCAGGTCCACGGCCCCTCATACTATAGCATCCCGGTGCTGACACCCCCTGCTCTCCCTCCTTTCCACTGCCCCTCCGCACTCCACACCATCTCATGGCCTATTGGAAGTCCTGGCAGATGTGTCCTAGGGGACACTTGTCCTGGCGGTGGGGCCAGAGAGGCGTCCCAGCTTCTGGGCATTGGCAGATCGCGAGTGAGATCTCCGTTCCTGAGTGGTGCTCTAGTTGCTCTGAGTCGGGAGTACCCTCGGAGACGCACAGCCCTCAGTGCGCACACAGGGAAACTGAGTCAGGGTGGAGTGTAGAGACTTACCAGAGTCACGCAGTGAGCCCTGGGCTGCAGTAGACACAACGCCCGTCTCGTGGCCAACGTGTGGGCTGAGGGACACCCCGCCCTCTCCCACTCGGCCCTCAACTGCAAGCTTCCCAAATGTCTTCTCCACGTGTGTAGCCCTGGCCCATGGCGGGAGCTCAGAAAACAGCCAAGAGAATGAATCGCTGCCCTGCCTCCAGGCCTGGGACCTCACCCTGCGAGCCCCTTCTTCCCTGTGCCATCCTCACCGGAGCCCCGCGCCCCTCGCCGTTCCGCCGACCTTGTGACTGCTCACCTCTGTCTGAAGTGCCCGGGGCTTCAGAGACGTCAGCTGGCAGTGGCAGCTGGCTGTGCCAGGGCCCGCTGTTCACGATAAGGGCACATCTGTTAACGGGCACCCGGGACATGGGCTGGACGTGACCATGCTCTGTGACCTTGCCTTCTTGGTTTGTGGTCCTCAGAACTTTCTTTCTTCTTTTTTTTTGTTAAAAAAAATATATGCTTTATTGATTTTAGAGAGAGAGAAACATCATCTGAGAGTGAAACGTTGGTCAGCTGCCTCCTGCGTGTTCCCTACCAGGGACTGAGCCAGAAACCTCCACAACCCGGGCATATGCCCTGACTGGGAATCGAACTGGCGACCCTCTGGTGCCTGAGACAATGCTCAGCCCACTGAGCCACGCCAGCCAGGGCCCTCTGAGCTTTCGATGGTGTTTCCAGCTTCCAGACTGGGTCAGTCAGGGAGCAGGATGCTATAGGTCACTGTGATGGGGGATGAATTCCAAAGTAGCTAGGTCTCAGTTCTGAGAGAGACCACTTCTGGTCCACGCAGCATCCAGCAAAGCTCACGGGGCCCGCCAGGCCCCTCTCTGCCCAGGCTTCCTCCGTGACCTGTCGGCGGCTCTCCGCTGGCCCTTGCCCCTTGCAGGCCTCGGGCCTGTGTCCCTGCCCCGGCCTCTCCCCAGGGAACGCTTCCCAGGGACACCTAACTGACGGGAAGTTATTGATGATAACAGCAGGGGGCATGCATGGAGTGAGCTTTACTGTGTGAACTCATTACTCCTCCGGCAGCCCCAGGTGGGGTGGTGGGAGTGGGGGTGAGAGGTGGGAGTGGGGGGGAGGTCAGTTCCACTGGCTGTGCCTTACTTGGCAGAGTGGGCCTCTCTGCCCCCGTGTGTATAGACTCCTCTGCAGCATGCAGACCCTCTCCCAACACTCCATGCTCTGCTGTCACTTCCCCCTCCTCCTTCTCCGTCTCTCTGTCCTGATGGGTCATGGTCATTACTGGAACTTCCCCCACCACCCCGAGTAAACTAAGTCCACAGGGTGCCTTCCTCCCCGTCGTGGTTTCCTGGTGGTCTCTCATCCATGGCTTCCCCCATGTCCATGAAGCTGGGCCTAGGGGCCGTCCAGGGAACTGAGGGGACCCGCCCACTGAGGTGCTCGCTGCCAGGGCCTGGCTCATGGCTCTCTTCCCCACAGGCTGCCCTGGGATGTGGGACAACATCACGTGCTGGAAGCCCGCCCGCGTGGGTGAGATAGTCCTGGTCAGCTGTCCCAAGTTCTTCCAGATCTTCGATCCGGACCAAGGTGGGTTCCGCCCGGGCCTCTTCCGGCCACGCTCAGCCCTGCCTGCTCCCCGCACGGGCCCCAGACTGCCCTGGGATACAAGCACCACTGCACTGCAGGCTGTCAGCTGTCCCCAGGGGTGCAGGGATGGAACCACACGCCCCCGACACACGGGGGCACACAGGCTTCCCTCAGACATGGTTGCCCGGTCTATGTGGGGTGTGTCATCATGGGCGGGCATAGCTGGGCTCACACACAGCCTCCATCACTCGCCCTGCTGCGGGCCTTGGGCACAAGGCCCTCACCCCTCTGTCCCTTGGGTCCCTAATCTGTCAAATAGGAATGCAGTGGGCCACGGGGCACTCAGCAATACACGGGAGAGTCACTTGGGGTGGGACTGTGCACATCTTAATACTCAGTGGTAGTTGTTAACTTACGTTACTGCCATCATCACTCCTCTGGAGACACGGAGAGGCCCAGGGCGACACCCTCAGGCAGTGGACACGACGCTCCCCCACTCGCCCGCACCCACACACGCCCACACCACTCAGATCCAGGCACAGGCCCCGGCCTCACCGTCACTCGTGTGCATTAAGCAGAGTGTGTTCTCGGTCCTTGCTGACTCTGGGCAGCGATGCGGGCTCAGGAGAGGAGGAACTGGGGCTGCCTGGGGGAGGACATGGGCACACGGGAGCCGGTGGCTTGCAGATGCCGGCCTGGGTGTCTGATGGCTCCCTCCCTGATGGGAGAGGCTGGGTGGGTGCAGTGTCATAAGGAGCTCAGCCTGTGGCATGTCTGTTCAGGTGTGAGTGTGTGTGTGTGTGGGGAGAGAGGGCTACTGCAGCGCCCGGGAGCTACCCAGAAGCCCCAGCTGATGTGGGAGACCCTGGGGGTGGGCAGGGATGGGCCTGTGACTCAGGTTATAGAGCGGCGGCGGGCGGGGAGGAGGCAGCGGGCTCTCTGCAGTCCCCAGGCCGTGGTGACCACATCTCTGTGGGGAGCGGCCTGACACGGCATCTCTCCTTTGGGAGTGAGACTCTGTCCGCCTTCCCTTGAGGCCTTTTGGCTCCCAAAGAAGGTTGGTGTCTGGCCAGATCACTGAGACCCGGGGAAGAGCCTAGAGCCAGGCCCTGGCCCTGCACCACACCCCTGTGGGTGTCCAGGGTGAGCTGAGGGCACTGCTGGGGGCGGGGCTCCAGGCGAGTGGTTTTCTGAGAAGGTGCCAGCCGGTGCTGACTGCTGAGTCGTGGACAGGGGCCTCTTGGGTAGGAGGGTCATGCACAGGTCACTTCAGGCCTGGGCCTCACTTCCTCCTTCACCTGAGGCTTTGGCCGGTGTGCTAGAATTAGGGTTCCCAGACCCCAGTCCACTACAGAGTCCTGCCTGCCCGTCCCCTGTCCTGCCCCAGATAGAGGCAAAGTCTGATTTTCCTGGAATCCTGCCAACCTCGACTCTGCCTGGATGGCAGGTGCCTGTGGAGATGGTGGCAGCCTGTTGGGGTGCCAGGCCTGTGTCTCAGGGTTCCATCCTAAGACCAGAGAAGGCAGGGTGCAGCTGTAGAACCCCCGACCTCGCCTCTCCCTTCCCCGGCTTCTCCTCCTGGGGCCTGTTAGCCACACCCCCTACCTCCAGACCTCCTGCCAGCCCAGAAGTCCCATCCTGACACCTCGGGACTGGGCGTGACCACGTCTAGAACAGGACAGGGGGTGAGTTTCAGAAATGAAGACAGAGGAGGGACAGGCAGTGTGAGTGGTGGGACGTCAGGCATGTGGCAGCCCCGCCATGCAGCCCGATCTCTAGTTCCTTCCTGAGGAAGGAACAGGTCAGTGTGACTGACCTGTCACACTCTCCACTCACAGACTCCTGTCCTTCATTCGTCTGCTTCAAGTTTACGGACCATCTTCTCTGGGTCAGGCACCATGGCAAGCTGCTTCTTTCCAACAATAAAAATAAGGCAAAGGGAGCCCTAGCCTGCTTGGCTCAGTGGATAGAGCATCAGCCTGCTGACTGAAGGGTTCCAGGTTCAATTCCGGCCAAGGGCACCTGCCTGGGTTGCAGGCTCGGTCCCCATTGGGGGGCGTGCAGGAGGCGGCTGATTGATGATTCTCTCTCATCAATGATGTTTCTATCTCTCTCTCCTTCTCCCTTCCTCTCTGAAATCAATAAATAAATATATTTTTTTAAAAATAAGGCAAAGGGAATCGCAGCGAAGTGAGATCTTCTTGAGATAAACTTTCCTTTGGGCGCCACCCCTCCCCCTGGCAGTGGTACCAGGAGTGTGTTATTTACACCTGACACTTAGGAGCTCATTAAGGCAGGCCTCTTAGCACCTCCATTCGCACAGCTGAATGAGTGAGAATGAGTGAGACTCTCAGCAAGGGATGTGGAAAGTTGAGAATGGCACTTCCCCTGTTAGCTAGGGGTTCCCAGGTCGCCCCTGGCGTCCATGGGGTGGTTGTGGCGTTGCAGGCTGTGGAGCCACAGGAGAACGAAATGCCTCTGCGCATTTCTCTAACTGTGTCCTGTTCCCGAGGGAGAGGGAGATGTCTCCGGTGTCCGACCGGCCCCCAGCTTGCAGTCCTCATGGCGCTGGGCCCCAGCAGACCCTCCTGCCAGTGTTTGGGGGTGAGGTGGGGAAGAAGGAGGGGGAGGAATTAGAGCCTAGAGAGAGCAGACCCCACTTCAGCCCTCGCTCACCTCTGCGCTCTCTCCCTTTCTCTGTTTCAGTCTGGGAGACAGAAACCATCGGTAAGAGGAGCCCTGGAGAGGACAGACTGCTGCTCATCTGTCCATCTGTCCATCCAGCTGGAGTCCGGCTCTGACTGCTGGGAACGGGTGGGGGTGGCATGAGAGGCTTATCAGGGACCAGGTTCTCCCCACCACTTCTTCCCCTTTGGCCATCCTCGAGGTGGGGTCGGGGGACACAGGAAGATGGAAGATGCAGCCTTTGGCCTCAGGGTGCTCATGGGCTTGTTTGGGGGGTCTAGACTCACTCGTGGAGGGGTTCACAAGCCCGCCACATGCATATGTGCAGGCCTGAGTGTGTGTGCGCCCACACCGGTACTGACATTCCCAAGTGGCTGCAGAGTTGGAATGCACAGAAAGTTCAGAACAAAGAGACCCAGGATGCCCCATGCGGGCAGAACAATGTAAAGGTCCAGGGAGCCGTCCCGAAGGAGGTGGCATGTCAGCTGGACCTTGGGAACAGGATTTGGAGAAGCAGAGGGGAAATGGAGATGCATTGCTAGTAGGGGAGTCAGCATGGGTGGGGGTGGGAAGACAGAGTCGGGAGAGAAGGAGAAAAAGGTCTGAGGATCAAGGCTTTGAAGTTCTGGGTTCCCGTTGGTGAGAGTGGCTTGGAGGGGTGAGCACCAAAGAGGAAACCCCAGGCCCAGGACGTGGGTGGCTGTTCCTTGCCTTGTCCTTGAAAAGGGCCAATCACCCCCTCTCCTTCCTCTCCCACTCTGGGGGAGGCCCTCTCACCAATGACAAGGTCCCATTTCCACTTCCTGTGGGCCAGGGAGGAGGACTGAGTCACCGGCATCATTAGATTACAGAAACACAGAGCAAATGGGATTGCCGATGGGATGTGCAGCGAGCGGGTCAGAAAGGTGTGGGTGCGGTGCCGGGCTGCCTCCTGACTGACACCCCGCCCCTCGTCCTCCAGACCAGGGGAGCTCGGCCTTCCCGCGTGGAGGGCCGGCAGTGGACAGCCCTGGCAAGCTGGTGGCCGGTGTTCTGACTCATGTCCACGTCTGTATTTTGCAGGAGAGTTTGGTTTTGAAGACATTAACTCCTTGGACTTGGCAGGTGAGTTGGGACCAACTACCTGCTGGCTAGAAGTGGGGCATCTGCTGACGTGTGAGCCAGGGGACCCCTCTAGCAGGCCTGGCCCTGCCTCTCTGTGGCTGGGTGGCTCTGGCAGTTCCTTTTCCTTCTCTGATAAGCTGTGGATCTTCTCCGAGGACATTTATCTTCAAGTGTCAAACAGATGTTAGGGGAGCCTCATCGTGGACTCCAAATAAAAACCTCCTGGATTAGGTGGCCTCTGACGGCTTGGAACTCCCATGGGTAGAGTGGTGGCCACTACCCCCAGTGGGCTTGTGAAAACCCAGATTCCTGGGCCCCCGCCCAGTCACTAACCCCGTGGAGTGTAGCCTGGGGTAGGGCCTGGGGTGGGGCCTGAGAAGGTGCATGTCCAGGCAGTCTCCCAGGTGACGCTGATGGGCTGGTCTGGGGAGGTGCCCACGTGGAGAAGCTGGGCCCAGAGGTCCTGTGCTCTGTGGAATCGCTGGGGGTGGGTGGGGTGGGGGGAGAGCCGGGCGCAGTCACCGGGGCAGTCACTGTAGTGCTGACCGTCTGGAGGGCAGTACAACCGAGTGGCCAGTTCGTGGCAGAGTTCGGAACGGAGAGGCTCATGCTGTTCTGGGCCCACGCCGTGTCATTCACAGGAAACGTGAAGAAGGGGAATAAGAGGAAGGAAAGAGCGTGTACCTCCAGGACACTTTTTAAAAAAATGGTTTTTTGAAGCAACTTCCCTTTGTCCTTCCCACCACTCTGACATGGGCAGAGCGGAGAGGCGATGAGGGCCGGGCAGAGCGGAGAGGCGATGAGGGCCGGGCAGGGAGGAAAGTGGCCGAAGCCACGGTCCCACGGACACGCGGGCTCTCGGAAGAGGGGGGCAGGGGGGATTGGGAGGAGCCCGCCAGTAGCCGCCGAGCTGGGTGTGCTGGAGCAGGAGCAGTTAGTTGTCTTGGAGCTGTGAGCGGAAGCGATTCTCTCCCTGGGCCTGGACGCCCTCCTGCCCTGGGTCACAGGGCTCAGAACTCCGGACACCATGGAAGCCAGTCTTCCCACCGGGCCAGCCCCCTCTCCCTTGTTAAGAGAGCAGCTTGCACCTCCCCTGATCCCCACGCCCTTTGTAAAGGCCCAGCTTGAGGTCACCCACAGTCACTAATCTACCCCCCACCCCCCAGCAGACAGTGGAGGGTTTCGGGAACCTGCGTGGCCATGCTTCCCAGGAACCCCTGTGTGTGGAGTGATTTTCGAATAAGGATTTCAGGGCCTCTTAGGTCATCTCTGGCCTGCGTTCTTCCCCGCAGGCATGAGGGTGGTGAGCCGGAACTGCACCAAGGACGGCTGGTCGGAGCCCTTCCCTCACTATTTCGAAGCTTGTGGGTTTGATGAATATAATGAATCTGAGTCTGGGGACCAGGTGAGTGTCTGTGTCTCTCTCCCCCTCACCCCCCTCCCCAGCCCAGAGATAGTGAGTGGGAGTGGCATTGAGGTGGGTGGAAGGGTGTTCCCAGCGGAGGCTGTGACTCCTGGTGGGATGATGGGCATCTCTGGTCCCCAGGCGGCATGCATGAGCACCTACTGTGTCCGGGTGCATGGAGGCCCAGCAGCAGGAGGGTCGTTGCTAGGCCTGGCAGGGGGCCTCCTGGACCCTTTTCCAGGCTAAGGGGTGGCTGGATTGCTCAGAGCTCCTGCACTCAGCAAGCATTTATGGAGCATCTGACAAGAGCAGACGCGCCACGGAGGGGAGGAAGCACTCAGTGGGGGATGGGAGCTTGGGGAGGTCTCAGAGGTAGAGGCACTGAGCAGGGAGGAGGTGAGATCAGCCAGAGGAAGGAGGAAGGGGGGCCCAGAGGTGGGAGACTGGGAGATTGGGCCGGGGGCCGGCAGACCCCACATGGAGCCCCCCCATCCTGTGCCCTCCCCCAGAATTTCTACTACATGTCGGTGAAGGCCCTGTACACCGTCGGCTACAGCACATCCCTCGTCTCCCTCACCACGGCCATGGTCATCTTGTGTCGCTTCCGGTAAGCTCTCCAGCACTGATCCAGTGAGCTCCAGTGAGCATGCCCACCCCAGCTCAGAGCCCGCTGGGCATCAGGCCTGGAGCTGGTGGGCAGGGCCAACCCCACTCCCAGGATGAAGGATGGGAAACGGGACCCCAGAGAGGGCAGCTGGCCTGTCCAGGGAGGAGACCTACTTGCCTCGCTTGTGCCTTCCTGGTCTACATGGAGGGGTCATGGGCTGGGGGATGGGGACCTGCTGCTTAGCGAGCAGGAGGGAGGGGGCGTCAGGGGGGGGCCCATAGCAGCCCCAAGTGCTGTGGGTTACCCGCCTCAAGGCCTCTCCCTCGCTGGGCAGGAAGCTGCACTGCACCCGCAACTTCATCCACATGAACCTGTTCGCGTCCTTCATGCTGAGGGCCATCTCCGTCTTCATCAAGGACTGGATCCTGTACGAGGAGCAGGACAACAACCACTGCTTCATCTCCACCGTGAGTGCCCGGCTGGGGACCGCCCGGACGGCCGAGGTCCGGGGCTCTCCCGCAGGTTAACACACAGTCCCGGCACACAGGGACATCCGGGAGAGATCACCAGGCCACCGGGAGCCAGGGACTCCCCTGCCTGAGGCCACTGCCTGGCCCTCGGCACCCGCGTGCGCTCGGCAGGGCAGTCGGAGGTCGGGTGGAAAGGCTGGACCCTCTTGGCTAGGGTGCACACAGGCTCTCAGCGGGCTTCCGTGGGCTGGTTACGCCCACCCCGGACGGAGCCCAAGGGCTGTGGGCAGGCGTCTTCCTAGACCACCTCCCCCGACCTCAGACCACAGGTCAGCAGAGAAGATGGGTTTGGATGGCCTGGGAGGCACACTTAGAGCAGGCCTCTGTGAGATTTAGACAGCACAGGGCCAGGGGTACCTCCTCTAGCCCTGTGATGTCTAAAGCTCTCATTCCATCAAGGGGCCTCCCGCAGGGACCTGCCTCCTCACCTAGCCTGTGGGGCTTGGGAAGGGGCAGGAAGATGGGACAATGAGCCTGGGGAGGGGGCTCCATGCTCACCGCCACCCCATCCTTTGCTGACATGGGCAGTGTTGACTCCGTGGGTAGCTTTGACTCTGAATCACGGGCTGCTGCAACTTTAAACTCTTGGAAGCCAGGAATGTTGAGTGTTTCTGACACACGGGGTATGAGCCTGAGCAGACCAGAGCTGAAGGGCCCAGAAATTCTCCCTGCTCCCAAGGCTGGATCTCAGGGCTCGGCGGGGCTGGGGATGGGGACTCATGTCGCCCTCCCTCTCCGCACCCCCTCCCCCCCCCACTCTGGGCAGGTGGAGTGCAAGGCCATAATGGTTTTCTTTCACTACTGCGTCGTGTCCAACTACTTCTGGCTGTTCATCGAGGGCCTGTACCTCTTCACCCTGCTGGTGGAGACCTTCTTCCCCGAGAGGAGATACTTCTACTGGTACACCATGGTTGGCTGGGGTAGGTCTGCTGTGGCCTCGGGGCCAGGCATGTTCTCGGGGGCCCCGTGGGGGAGTGTCAGACCAGACGAGGAACTTCCCTGTCTCCTCCCCCCTTGCCCCGATGCCACACACCTGCAGCTTGCACCCTCTCTTGCTCTTCCTGCCCCCAGAAAGCCCACCTTCTGAGAGGACATCCTCTGTAAGGCGAGCTAGCCCATGGTCTGGGGGAGACCTGGGCCTCAGGGTATAAGGGACAGTTTGTTTCCCCAAAGCTCCAGGTCTGAGAGGGAGCCGTGCCTGTGCCTGTGGGTCAGAACCCCGTGTCTGACTGGGGATGACAGCTGCAGGGAGCCCCAAGTCTGAGGGGGACCCTGGGCCCATTGGCGTCCCTGTTACCACTGGGCTCCTCTTGTTGCTCTCGCAGGGTCCCCAACCATCTGTGTGTCGGTGTGGGCTGCGCTGAGGCTCTACTTTGACAACACAGGGTGAGTGCGTGCCCGAGAGCCGGGCTGGCTTTCTGTGCAGGCTCTCCATGGGGCCCTGACCCTGCTTTACCGGCCCCAGACAAATGATACCTGGCAGGGCACCCACTGCGCCCTGCGCTGCCCACATTCGGGCCCACTCAGCCACACCTCGGCCAGAAGGCAGCGGGAAGGAGCATGGCTCAGAGCCCTGCTCTGCTCCTGGGCCAGAGTTGAGCATCTGTTTCCTTTCAGGGAGGGGAGGAAGAAAGAAGGGGAAGCTCACCCCCACCCCAAGAGTCCTAGGTGTGAAGGGGGAAGGTGGCCCTTGCCCAGGAGCCCTGTGGTGACCCTAACTCTTGGGCTGCAATCCCTGCTGAGGGAAGGCCCACAGCATCCGAGGCCTCTCCTTCCAGCTGCCCCTCCTTGGGGAGCTGCCGGGGAAGCAACAGCCAGGGCTGGAGACCTAGTCCTGCAGGGGCCCTGTCCCTGAGCATAACCTCGCTTCTCTGTCTCTCAGCTGCTGGGATATGAATGACAGCACTCCTCTGTGGTGGGTGATCAAAGGCCCTGTGGTTGGTTCCATAATGGTGAGTGCCCTTGGGACAAGGCGCAGGGAAGAGGTGGCGGCGACTTGGGCATAAAGGCGCGAGACGGGAGAGGAAACCTAAACCAACCTCCTCCCTTCTCATGGCTGTGTTGTAGTCTGCACATGGATGTATAGAATGCGCTCTAGCTATCCTGAGCGTATTGGCTGTTTATATGCTCCCATTTTCCCTCATCACAAAAGACTGGACTAGAGAGAGAGAGTTCTGTGCATAATTGTGGACAGTCTTTGGGGAGAAGGGGTAACAGTTGCTCGATGCTTTAATGTGCATTTTTCCATGTTGCTAGTGCCTCAGGGCATTTTCCCAGATGTTTGTTGACAATTTGTTTTTATTCTGGTTATTACTTTTTTATTTATCTTTTTTCATGCTTATTTTTCTAGCCCCGTTGTTGTCTGTCTTATTGTTTGAAGGATAGTAACCCTACATTCGGTAAAATACACATGTTGTAAGTGTATTTCCAAGGTGCCGTAACTCTTGTGCAGTCAAACCCTCAGGCTTCCTCTTTCCACAGTCTCGAGCCTTGTTTCTTTCTTTCTTTTTAATATATTTTATTGATTTTTTACAGAGAGGAAGGGAGAGAGCTAGAGAGCTAGAAATGTTGATGAGAGAGAAACATCGACCGGCTGCCTCCTGCACACTCCCTACCGGGGATGTACCCGCAACCAATGTACATGCCCTTGACCAGAATCGAACCTGGGACCTTTCAGTCCGCAGACCGACGCTCTACCACTGAGCCAAACCGGCTTCGGCCGAGCCTTGTTTCTTGCTTAAGGAGGACTTTCCAGACCTATGACAGAAAGATATGCTTCTTAATTGTTTGGTTACATTTTTGTCGATTGGGTTATTACATGCTTTAGTCTGGCTGAAATTTTATTTCCTTGATCTGAAATGATACCTAATTTTATCTAATCCCCCCCCCCCAGTGGATAGATGTTCCAGTCTCTCAATTATTTCTGTTGAATAGATTATCCTTTCTCCATTATGTTGAAATGTCACTGTGTCTTAAACACTTACTGTATTTTATTTGGTTCCAGATTTTAGTTTGATGTTACTAATCTACTTGTTTCTTCCATGGTCAGTACCCCACTGAGCTAGTTACTATAACACTGTAGCATGTGTTCATATCTGGTATGCTAATTTTCCCTTCTTTATTCTTTTTTTTCCTTCAAAATCTTCTTGTATATTTTCTTTTCATGCGATTTCAGATCCTTTGGCCAGTTGCAAGAAAATAGTCTAATTGCAAATTTTATAGGAATTAAACTGAATTTATAAACTAATTTGGAAAACACAGTCTCACCCTTCCCCAGCTATCCACCGTTTTGCTTTCTAAGTTTTTAGCTCCCTATAGTCAACCATGGTATGGAAACCAATTTTTAAAAAAATACATTTTTATTGATTTCAGAGAGGAAGGGAAAGAGAGAGAGAGAGAGAGAGAGAGAGAGAGAGAGAGAGAGAGAGAGAAACATCAATGATGAGAGAGAATCAGTTATCAGCTGCCTCCTGCCTGTCTTTCACTGAGGATTGAGCCCACAACCGGGCATGTGCCCTGACTGGGAATCAAACCACGAACTTCTGGCTCATAGGTCGGCACTCAACCACTGAGCCACACTAGCCAGACTGGAAAAATATTTTAAAAGAAAAATTCCGAAATATACAATTCATAAATTTTAAATTGGACACTACCCTGTTTCCCCGAAAATAAGACATCCTCCGAAAATAAGACCTAGCGCAACTTTGGGAGAAAAAATTAATATAAGACACTGTCTTATTTTCGGGGAAACAGGGTATTATGAGTAGCATGAAGAAATCTCACACTGTGGCACTCTGTTCTACCCCAGCATGGACCATCTCTCTGTCCAGTGTATCCTCACTGTATAGGCTACACACCTGTTAGTCAAAGTAGCCATTTTGGTCAGTGATCAGATTGATTATCATATTTTGAGGGAGAAAAAGACCACATTCACATTTATTACAGTATATTGTTGCAATTGGTCTATTTTATTATTAGGTATTGCTAATCTCTTACTATGCCTAATTTATAAATTAAACTTTATCACAGATATGTTTGTATAGGAAAATAGTATATGTAGGGTTTGGTATTCTCCACGGTTTTAAGCATCCACTAAGGTGAGGAAGGAAGGATGATTATAACTTTTATTCTTAAAATATTGAGTCTTCCTCTCCAAGGACATGCATGAATCTCCATTTATCCATTCTTTCTTGTAGAGTCATTTTGTATAGTTTTTTTTTTTCAGTTGTCTTTGTAATTTACCTCCAAGATAAATCCAGCCAGTCTGGATTTATTCTTTCATTACATATTTTTTAGTAGATTACTACTGATATAGAGAGAAGCTTTTAGTGTTCTTGTTGTATTTTTTTAATTACTTTTTCCCCCTTTGAATGGACTTATGCAGTTAGCAGTGTATACTGAGCTAAATTCCAGGTGCTGATGAGAGCAGTAGAGTACCTGAGGAACTGCCCTCACATGGCATGCTTTATAATCCCAACAGCTCTGTGAAAACACACAAACAAGACCTAACATGGAAATGTATTTTTATTGACCCGGTCTACCTTTTTTTTTCTCTCTTATTTTTAAAAAAATAATGAATTTTTTTTTTTTAAATTTTCTTGTCTAAGTTACATTTGTGGTACTCTTTCCCTAGCCTTTGATTTGCATGCTTAATATTTTATCTTCAACATTTATCATGCTTTAGTAAGGACTGGGCTATCGTTTTCCTCGGAGCGCTGCTTTGGCTGCATCAGATGTTGTTGTGCGCTCCTCCTGCCGTGCCTCATTTCTATTTATTTGCTCACCTCCCTCCTTCCTCACCGTACACACTGCTCCCCACTTTGATTAGAGAGCTTTTGCCCTGGTCTGTACCTGCAGGGAAACGCTGCTGTTACCATTCCCCAGCCTTGAATGGATAACGGGTGTGGTTGTCCATTCAGTGACTGTGAACTTGGCGTTCCCAGAGGCCAGCTCTCACCTCTGCAGCAGCCTCTTCTCTTTCGGTCTGGCATTGGAATTATTCCCTCATGCTGACCCTGTCTGCTCTTTCTCTCTCTCTCTGCTGGAAATGACTCACTTTCCTGACTCACTAATGATACCTTTCCTGTTTCTCGGTATTCCTGTGGAATTCCTCTGTGTCTGTCTCTTCTGTCATTTCAACCGAATGAACGCCATCCTGAATTCTGAGTCTAGCGGGGATCTCGGCTGGATGGGGATGGGGGCCCCTGTTCGGGGGGTAGTAGCGTGTGCAGAGGCAGGGGTGTGGACAGGCTTTGCCCAGCATCGTTTCCATTGGCTTTCCCTTTGCCCCTCAGGTGAACTTTGGGCTCTTCGTGGGCATCATCTTCATCCTCGTGCAGAAACTTCAGTCTCCGGACACGGGAGGCAACGAGTCCAGCATCTACTTGTAAGTACCACTGTGTGAATGCCATCGTCCGCTCCGCCAGCTGAGGGGGCCCTGACGCAGGCCCCTGGAGGACAGGCCTGGGTTTGGGGGACAGGGTAACCTAGCGTGGGCTCTTGCAAGATTTCTTTCTGATTCAAGTGCCTTGGAAATCTCGTTGCCTATCTGTCTTCCGCCACGCCAGCAGCTCCCAATCCACCTGGTGATGACATGGAAGGGAAGAGAGATTGGAGGAGACTGGCCGATGACATGTCACCCTAGGACCGTGGTCAGCAAACTGCGGCTCGAGAGCCACACGCGGCTCTTTGGCACCCTTGAGTGTGGCTCTTCCACAAAATACCACGGCCGGGGCGAGTCTATTTTGAAGAAGTGGCATGAGAAGAAGTTTAAGTTTAACAAATTTGGCTCTCAGAAGAAATTTCAATTGTTGTACTGTTGACATTTGGCTCTGTGGACTAATGAGTTTGCTGACCATTGTCCTAGGAAATCCATATGGAAATGGCCAGGTTCCCAAGGGTAGTTAGGATCTTGGTTGCTCAGAAGTTGGGTTTCCTTTGGGGATCTTGGTTCTTTGGGATGCTCATGAGCGCCTGATGTGCAAATGGCTTCAGTCCCACCAGCAGGTCATGTGGACGTTCTTGCTGGTCTGGGTAATGGAAGGAGGGAGTCTTTTTCTTCTCCTCCCCTCGGGGCGGCTCTACTTTGGGGTCTGGTCCTCCCCCTAAAACTCCCTCTTCCCAGAGCAAAGGAACATCTGATAGGTTTCGGATTGATGGGGTTCTCAGGCGACCTCTTACCACTGACTGTAGGGTTTTCTTCATTCACTGCCACTGCCGTGTGGTTTGTTCCCTACACGGTTTCCTGCAGTCGTGTCCCCATCAGCGTAGCCCTGCTTGCTGTGGCCCACCCTGTCACCCATCCCAACCTGTCCCAGCCTGTCCCAGCTCTCGACCCACCCTGAGTCAGACTGAGCACCTCCACCTGAAGCATGACCAGCTGGGTGTGTGGGGAGTGGAGACATTTCTGATGCTGGGGAGGAAGGTCAGTCCCCTGTGGGGGGCTAGAGAGGCCAGATGGGCACAGAGAACCTGGAGGCAATCTTGGGGGTCTGTTCATGGGTGAGATATGAGTCTCGGGTGTTGCTTCCTTGGCTTTTTAAGAGGAGAGCAGGTTAGAAGGAGCTGAGGTATTCTCATTGCGTCAGTGGGGGCTTTGTCTTACCTTCATCAGAGACCCCAGAACTTTAATAGCTGCCCCGTGGACAAGTGGGGCAGCAGAGGGATCCCCCACCCAACCATTCTTCTGAGGAGAGAGAGAGAGAGAGAGAGAGAGAGAGAGAGAGAGAGAGAGAGAGAGAGAAAGAGAGAGAGAGGGAGAGGCAGAGACTGCTCAGAGAGCCATCCTAGCTCCTTCCCTCAGACTCGCGGGGCCTCCCTTGTCTGTCTGTCAGCCCAGGCACCACGCCCCGTGGAGCCCTTCCCCTGCGGTGGGGACCGAGCAGGGCTGGCGGGATGAGCTTTATTCCATCTGCATGGAGGATGATTCCATTACATTGGGAAGGAACCCCCTCCTGTTTTCTCATTCGTTTACCGTTTTTTTTCCCTTCATTTTTTTTTTATACTTTTGCAAGTTCCTACCAACCTCTGCTTATACGTGTGCGTCATGTAGTAAAAAAAATTGCCCACCCATCATGGCATTCAGTCTCCCAGGCCTGTCCTCTGCAGTGCACTAAGTGCCCTAGGCAGCTCGGCCTGGGCAGCTCAGCCCTGCTGCCCTCCTCCCCTCCCTGCTGTCCGGCATCAGGATCTGTGTCCTTGTGTCTGGTCCCCATTTCCTGCTCGAGGGCAGATTGGCTCCCCCCCAAACTCATCTCAGACCCTGACGCCAGTGTGTAGCCGAGTCAGCCTCATCGCTCCCTTGAGCTCTAGCAGCCCCAGGTCCTGGTATACTCTGTCTCTTCTTCTGTGGTCCCGGGACCCCTTCTCTTGGCTTCTCCCTGCGCCCCCTCACTCTGCCAGTGCAGAGACACAGGCCCAGCCACAGCCTGAGGAAGGACACACGTCCCTGTCGCTGTGTTTCGGGGAACAGGGGCCCGAGGACAGGGAGAGAGACTGGGGAACGGGCAGTCGCTGGAGCAGTCAGAACACACACGACACCTGTCCATTGTTTGTCTTATTTGGGCACAGTGTGTGGTCTCCAGAACAACTATCATACACCAAAAACCACCGGCCACAGACCACCACAACCAATACAATAATAACGACAAAGTGTAAATATTGAAAGAATTACCAAAATGTGACAGACACGAAGTGAGCAAATGGTACCAATAGACCTGCTCAACTGAAATGGATAAAAATATGTTAAACAAACAAAATTAACAAAAAACCCTTTAATCTGTAACCTCCCCCCATCCCCACACACACACATGCACCACCTGTGAAGTGCAACCAAACGAAGGTTGCCTGCACATGTGAGCACAAACGTTTAAAGAACCAGCTAAGGGCTTGCTTCTCTCGTGTAAAAATCCCCTCACAATCTCAGCAAATCCTTTTTATAGAGAAAGTGCTCGTCTCAAGCCCTAAAGGTTAAACCCTTGGATGGATGTGGTCTGCACACTGGCGGGAGGGCGTGGGGTAAGAACCCACGCAGGACAAGGCTCAGCTTGATCCTGTTCAATTCAGCGAGGGTTTGAGTCCCGGAGGCCCTGCTGCGGAAGTGAGGGGGAGTTAAAGGGACGGTGCTGCTGAGAACTCAGGTGCTGAAAGTCACCTGCACTTCAGTCCACGCACCTTTAATGCTCAGGAGCACCCAGAGGCTCTGGCGAGCTGGACGTATAAATGTCTGCGTGCACATGTAATCCCTGTGTCGCAGCCAAGGGAGCTGGTTACCAGTGCAGGGCAGTGAGCCCAGTGGGAACATGAAGGCATAGCTGCGCCGCAGGCAGGCCGGCCCTGCACCCCAGGCTCCACGCTACCCCCATTCCCAGCCTCAGGGACATCCCAGGCAGAAGAGGGTGGTAAGCAAGTGTATAGACAAGGCTTCCTGGGAGAGGAGGCCCCAGGGCTGCAGCCTTGTGTAAAGCTGCCCGCCGGCAGGCATGGAGCTGCAGGGCGTCTGCTGTGGGCAGGGAGACGGTGGGGCTGGGAAGGGCAGGCCCATGGGAGAGGGTTTGAGGGCGGTGCCCGTGTCCCCTTGGGCCACCACGTATGTGTTGGGCTCAGACCTACCCACAGCTTTTTGGTTTTTTCCTCTGTTTCCAGAACAAATATAAGCCTGGGAGTCCCCAAGAAAGCCCGAGAGGACCCCCTGCCTGTGCCCTCAGACCAGCATTCACCCCCTTTCCTGTAGGTTGGTGCCAGCGGCTCAGCTGATAAGGGTGTGTTCTCCCTCCGTAGACCAAGACGGCGCTCTCGGCCCAGCCTCCCAAGGACGGTGGCGGGGGGGGGGGGGGGGGGAGGGGGGCGGCGGGAAGGGGGGGGCACTGAGCCCCCACACTCTCTCCCTGTGCTCCTCATACAGGGAGCATCCTGGGTCAGGGCTTGGGTGTGGAGTGCGGGCCTGGGTCAGGGCTTGGCGTGTGCTCAGGCTCGCCGTGGCCTTGGGCAGGGGTTAGGGGTCAGTCCGCTGGGGTCAGGGTTAGCCTGCCTTTCCCTGGGGACCAGCGTGTACCTCTGTGAGAAGCAGGGGCCCCGAAGACGCAGGGGGAGGCTGCAGGGCAGACAGGATCGCACTGAAGGAGGGCTTTGTTCCCGGTGGGGCGTCCCATGGCACGGTGGGCATCGGAAGCTGGTGTGGGGGAGGGAAACCCTATCTGAGTCCCCCTCAGGGACTCCACAGAGGGTCTCCATGGTCCCCGGGGAAAGGAAGGAACAGAGAACAGGCACGGTGATGTCCTGGGTGGCTCAGCAGCGCCATCATGTACCCAGTGTCAGGAGGTCAGCGTTTGCCTCTGCAGACAGGCCTTTCCGGGCTGGGCACTTCCAGGGCACCTGGTCCTGATGGGCTCCATCTTCCACTCCTGAAGCACCCTCTCCCCTGTCTCGGAGCACCCCATCGTCCCAACTCCTGTTAGGGTTTGGCAGCAGGGGATGGTTACCCCCATTTTGCAGTGAGAGAAACTGAGGCCCTGAGAAGGAATATGGCCCCACCGAAGGTCACCCAGGGAGTCAGTGGTCAATCAGAGGCTTGCACTCAAGTTTCTCTCTCCCTCCCACCCCCCAGCTGGGCTTCTGGTAGGGGTACCATCGACAGGTTTGGGTTCTGGGGGTTCCCAGCCTTTTAGCATCAGGGGGACCCTCCAGAGAATGTCCAGTTTAGACCACGACGTCCTGAGGGCTGGGTATATCCAATGCCACATTGGTCACTAGGATCAGATGACCAGACGGGGCTGCCTGCAGGGGTCTCGTCTTGCGTCCGGTCAGGTGAGGCCTGGGCCTACAGCCCAGTAGTCCCTCCTGGAGTCTGGCCTGAGACCAATCGGGCCCAAGACACCAGGTGCAGCATCCCTGGCTATAGATGGGGGAGCCCAGACCTGGATATGGCTTTGACCTTCCTGCGACAGACAGCAGAGCCTTGGCAGGGGCCTGGGCTGGGAGCCGGGCTCTCTGACTTTCTGCAACGGGGTCCCCGCTCTGAGATGGGCTGGTGCGCTGCTTGCCAGGAAGCCCCACCCGGCACCCTTGTCTGAGTTTCTCCTCTTCCCCCGGATCCAGATCAGAGCTGAGCGCGTCCGTCGGCCCAGGTTTCTCTCTTCCTCGTGGTTAAACGCCTTTCCCTCCTTCGCTAGTTGCTGTGACTGGCAGGGCATCTGCCATCTTTCTCACGCCTGTCTCCGGCTTTCCTGCCGCTGTCCCGTGTTTCTTGTTGTGGGTCCTTGTGGACAGTCGTTGAGGATTTGAGGGAGGCGTGTGTTTGGGAAGAAGAGCCCTTACCTTTGTCCCTAGGTCCTTCTGAGAGCCCTCCCGGGTGCCAGATCCCCCCCCCCCCACCACCACCATTGCCCC